TACGCGCCGCGTCCACTGCTCATCTGGTAGGGATAGTACGGTTTTTATTTGGGGGACTAGAGCTGGCGCTTAAAAACCTCTAGTCTGTTCTAAAATGTCTAGCGTTTTCGTTCCTTAGGTTTTTCATAATTGGATGGCCGCTTTATAAATTATAATATTATTATAATATTATTTTTCTGTGTTTTGTATTGCTGATATATTTTTCTCGTTAAAAATAATGCCAAAAAAAAAAAAGAAGCCAGATCCATTATCGATCATTATCGATAGTACTAAGCGCCGGATTGTTTTCCCTTATCCTTAGGATCCAGTGCTTTTTAGTGGAACACTCAGAAAAAACCTCGATCCTTTTGGTTCTTATGCCGACGTGGACCTATGGAACGCTCTTGAAGAGGTACATTGACAAATGTCCTTTATATAGTACACGCCAACTTAAAAGTAGCCTTCTCCGCAGGCTACCCCATATATTCTCCTTTGGGATTCCTGTGTGAGCCAAAGGAAGCCCAAGGAGTGAAAAGAGCCAAGGAGATGTTTGTGAAGGAGGCTAGCTCTTAAGATCGGTTCTTTCCTGTATCTAACCGTTTCGTTCCCAGTCTTCCTCGACTGTCGACCTCTTCTCGCCGTCCCAGTCTCTCCTCGGTCCCCTCTCCCCAGTCTCTCCTCGGTTCTATCTCCCCAGTCTCTTCTCGGTCTTCTCTCCCCAGTCTCTCCGTTCTCCTCTCACCAGTCTCTCTTCGGTCTGATACTAATTTCCCTTTAACAGGTTCAGCTGAAGGAATCTATTGAAGAATTACCAGAAGGACTGGAAACACCGCTCGCTGAGTCTGGCTCAAATTTCAGTGTTGGTCAGCGGCAACTGATATGCTTGGCGCGCGCCATCTTAAGTCATAATAAGATCTTGGTTATTGACGAAGCGACTGCTAACGTGGATCACAAGTAAGTCCAAAAATATCTGGGGGAAATTTTCTCGTATCCTGTAATCAGACGAGCGTTCTCTTATTCTAAGTTGTGCGAGCGATTTTTATATGAGTAGGAAACGTGGTTTTGATTTCCAGCACGTACATGGTACGACATGCCGTGACATTGAAATGGCTTCCCATAAGAATGGTTACCGTATAATTGGGAAACATTAGATACTGACTCACAGCACATCCACGGTTCGACATGCCGTAACATTAAAATGGCTTCCAGTAGTTCATCCTACCATAACGCGTAGCTACAGCTACGGTTAGATACGGTAGGACGGTACGACTTCAGTACGGGTGCGAATTTGTCGTATCGTTCCCTGCTCATGCTAAAAATGGTTTGAAGCACGACTTAGTATATATGCATGTGCATATTTCATAACATAACCAACCGTCACAGCACAGCCTACATCCACGGCTTCTCTAACCTCTTTACATGTATAAAGCATTTTCAGGTGACGTCGCAGCGGTCATGTTGGTGTGCCAAAAAAATACATTTTCTATACTCCGGGAATTGAACTATTTTTATGCAAAAATTGTGCAGAAAGTTTCAATTTTTTGGCACACCAATTTGGCTACCTTCTCACGTGAGCCCTATTTTTGGACCAATCAGAGCGTTTTTTTTTTTTTTTTTTTTTTTTT